ACTGTCACTAACACTTTTCATTTTCTTGAGAGCTATAATGAAGGTTAATTTAATGCAAAAAATATTTTATGTATACAGTGGTACTTCTGGTCACGAACGCCTCTAATCACGAACAACTCGGCTCATGAACACAATTTCCAAACAGATTTTGACCGGTCCGGAGGTTATCGTCCACGGGGGGCTTTTGTCTGCTTGCCCCAGTCATGTTTAGGCATTTGTGCGCCGGGGCATTGTGCGCGCATGGAGTCAAAATTTGTCTTTGTTCACGGGGGCTTTTGTCCGCTTACAACAAAGTCATGTTAGTGCGTTCGTGCGTCTAGGCATTGTACGCAGGTCGAGTCAAAGTTTGTTCGGAAATTGTGTTCGTGGGTCGAGTTGTTCGTGACTAGAGGCGTTCGTGACTCGAGGTACCACTGTACTAGCAATAGTGATTTATAATAGTGAAGTTTGAACTCTGAGCCTAAGAATGATCCCGAAGCGTACGCCCCATGTTAGGGTTACAGGAGCTGGAAGGCGACGGCTAGAGCCGAAAAAACTGCTACAGGAATCGGCTTGACATGTTTCAAAAAGCGTAATCGACAATGAACTCTAAAAACGAGGAAAGATCGAACAACCATAGGCGCGGTGACAATACACTGTTAGATTAGTTAATCCAGCATGGATGCACGACGCACTAGACAGGACTCGGGAAAATCTTGTATGAATCTGGATATTAGGAACTTAAGTACAATTACCGCTTAATTTTCGCCTAGAGAAAACTCAGATAATAAAAATGTTAAAATAATTATTAACAATTAAACGTCAAAATAAAAAACAACAATATCTGAGTGATGTTCTGCAATTCTACCCTGGAGCCAAACCAGGGCAAGGTAAAATTAGGATTATCTAAATTTCTATGACGGAAGCCCAAAATTTAAACTGCCATGATTAAATAAAACGCGGCTCTGTAACAGCGTTCGTTTCCATAGAAAAATGTCTGACCCACGATGACGCTCAGCTTTTAGGCCTCTCTCACCGTATTTGTTCCGATGATGGCTCGCCTAGAAAACGGTAATGCCGATAAGAACTCAGCTACACCGACAGCTGCTTAACTCCATTTTTCCCCTCGTAAACGTTGCTTATCACCATGCCAGATATGCACTGGTCATCTGTCAAGTACTCTTCAAAACGGCTGAAAATGCTCCTGCTTGGAGTAAGAATTCTTAAAGTGCGAACGTGTGGAGCAAGACTTGCGGGAAGACTTCTAGTCAAGAAGGTTTTTTTGCACTTTCTGTTGTACTCTTCACTTCTGCAATATTTAAGTTTTTTGCTTCTAATTTTCTGGTTTCCCACTGCAGTTAAATAATGGCTAAATCATTTTAAGAATGCT